AGCATGGTTGTGTCCATGGTCACATGGTCTGTAGTGTAGCCAGACCTAGCCATGGGCTGCAGTCTGTAGACCCTGTGAGTACAGGGTTGGGACACCCACCCTGCAGCTCCTTTGTCCTCAGCACCAGCTTGCTGAGGAAAGCAGCTTGCTTCATATGCATTGTCATGGTTGTTTATGGTGATTGTGGTGATGATGACTAAGAAAATCACATGAGTCAGATTATGGTTACCTGTTCCTTTACAATTTTGGAGGTATTTTCTAGACGACATGCTAGCCAAGATACAACAAACACTTAGAAAAGTAGCTAACATACTTGAAATACATCTTCTAAAGAAGACTGGAATTTTTTTCTGAATATTCATAAAAAGATTTCTTTTTCTAAAGGAAAATAGTTTTCTTCTGATTATAATGATAGGACTTAAAGAAGAAATTAAAAATAATCAAGTCCCCAAGCCCAGGAGTAACCACCATTGGTAACTGTACTTGAACCTTGCTAGGTCCCTTTGAGGCCTGTAGTCTCCACATGGCATTTTGCTTGCTTGGTGCCCAACAGGCTGGCCTGGGCACATTGCAAACATCAGGGGGCACCAGAGTCCAGGGTGCTGGAGAACAGGTGGGGCATTGATCATCTAGCTCCTGCTCGGAGCCCTCTCACTCAGGCCTGTGACCATGGTGACCGTGGTGACCACGCCCCCAGCCCCTGTATCTTCAAACAGGGTAGCAGTGCCTGGCCCTGCCCAGCTTTATGCTGGCCCTTTGCCCTGGCCTCTTTCCCTACTTGTATGCCATTTCTCTTGTGTGGCCCTGACCTGACAGGGTAGATGCTATGTCAAGGGGACTGTGCCATCTCCAAAGTGAGGTTGGCTTTCCTGTGTGCCTTGTTCCCCTGGCTTTTGGGCTGAGGCCCTAGATCCCAGAGCCTGGCTATTTGGAAACGTGGATAATAATAGCTGCTGGGTGATCATAAGGCAGAGGAAAGGAGGATAACCTGGGGTGTGCGCAGCATTGTGTGGGCACCAGTGGCAGCTAGAAGGGAGTGTAAAGAGCCGCGAGCCACACCAATGCTGCAGGTTTAAGAGCAGGAGTTAGCAAGGGGGTCCTCTGCACAGGAAAAGGCCACCATGACCCTCCCAGTGTACCTTGTCAGTCTGCACAATGCAGAGTGGTAGGAGCTCCTGCTCTGCCCAGGGTCTGAGCCAATCCTGGATGCCTGGCACTTGTTTACTTCAAGTGACAGCAGGTGGCAGTAGAGAGCCTGACTGGCCAGAGACTGAAATCTGCATAAGAATTGCAGAAAGATTGGTGTTATCTTTTTTTTTTTTTTTTTTTTTTTCCTCATTGGGAACTTGTACCTTTACATGAGGTATCTTGGTTCTTATTTTTTCCCTATTCCTAGCCCTCCCTTCACCCCCTCCACTCTTCCCTGTTTACAAAGACTTTATTTCCATTTCTTATCATTTTTCCTTTCCCTTCTTTCATTTCCCCTGCCCCTCCCACTTACCCCTACCCCTTTGGACCTTTTCTTCCTATTTTGCATTATCGATTATTCATTCTAATCATTGGTACATTTTAGGTATACAATATAATGACATTCATCATTGGAAATTTGCACCTTTACATAATCTCTCTTGGTTCTTATTTTTCACCCTTGCCTAGCCCTCCCTTCAACCCCTCCATCCCTCCCTATTTACAAAGATTTTGTTCCTATTTTTCAATTTTCTCATATTAATTCTGTTCCCTTCTTTCCTTTCCCCTACCCCTCCCACTTCCTTCCCCTTTGCCCCTTTTCTTCCTATTTCACATTACCTGTTATATATTTTAGTCCTTATTTACACTTTCAGTTTCTCACACCAGAGAAACTATTCGGCATTTATACATGTGTGTCCTATTTATTTCACTTAAGAGTATGGCCTCAATGTGCATCCATTTAGCTATAAATGTCTAATTTCTCATTTTTTATGGCCAAGGTGTTATCTTTCAAAGAGAAGTAACTGTCAGAGTCAGCAGAAAGAGAATAACTGATTCATATCCTATGTATAATAGGACCTAGGGTCTAATGAACACTTACTGGAGTTTTTAAACTGGTCATTTACCTGGACACTCCGTAAAGTAGGTGATATTGTTACTCCCACCTTAAGGGGAAGAAATTGAACTTTCAGGAGCACTTCAGTAGCTGGACTGATGAATTTCAGCTAACACAGGATGTTGTGGGCTGGAACCCAGGCAGCCTCTGATACCTGCCTTCCTTGCCTTTGGTCAGCCTCCAGGGCTTTGTCCCTGGGTGCATGCCAGAGGTGTATGTTTTTAAAGTTCTGATGTGCCAAAAAGGTGAAAGATTGCAAGCATATGAAAAAGTGGCAGAAAATGTGCCCCTTATCCAGGACCTTATCCACTCCTGAGCACTAGGCTCCTGAATCGGCCCCTCAGATATCTGTGTCCTTCCTGGGATGTCCTCATAGGGTGCCTCTGGGCCCAGGGGAAGGGAAGAGATTGGTCCCTTGTCCTCTCAGCTCCATTCTGTCCTGGAGTCTCTCCATCAGGTTGGAGGATGATGCTGTTGCTGAGAACTACGTCACCACATGTTACTCAGGTTCTTCATTTCTTTGTTTTCAGCTTTACCTAGAAAAATCTTAATTCCCATCCCCACCTACTCCCCTCATTTAAACACAGTGTTCATAATACTCTTAGGTTTTAAATATAGCATGCAGAGCTTGTCTTGTATTCAGAATACTTCCCTTCATGATTATGACAGGATGACTTGTAATACCCAGGAACACTGGAAGGGCCACCTTACATGGTGTTGGGTTCTTGTGCCTAGTGCTTTTGTGACAAAGACAGTCCCTGTGTTTTGATGCAAATTTTGGCACCTGTGCTAAAATAAAGGATTTTATAATAATGCAGATGGATACTTGTGTCCTAAATAAAAAATTCTTGCTACGCTTTCTTTCTACACAGAGATTCTCAAATGGCCAAAACATGTTGTAACTAAACATTGCAGAGAGAAAAGATGCATTTACTATGTAATTTTTTAAAAAGTCACCAATTTCCATTAGATGGTTTAATTGACTGCTCCTTAAGTGCATTGTGGGCCCACAGGGAAATATGTTTTTCAAAATCTAGTTTTCATACATAATCAGAGGTTGAATATTTTTGGTTACCATATTGCTTAGGTGGGGTTTTGTATGTTACTTGTATGTACTCTGGTTTCTCCATGAACAAAGGTTGATTCAATGAACTGTGCTTCAGTTCTACCCCAGGGCGACCAGAATGAGCCCAGAGCATATCCACAAGGGCTATCATGAGTTCCTGGTCCTATATTTCATTTTACAATTTCAACTTCTTCCTGTTTTGGAAGTGTGTTTGATGGGTGTGTCTCTGTCTGCACTGATGAGACTGAAATTGGTGTTCATAGCTTGGAGATGCCTCCATCATAATGTGTGTGCTCACCCCTGGTTTCAGGCCGGGGCAGGGTGGCATGGCAAAGGAGAAGCAGCTAACCCATTGATGAGCATCACACCCCCACGATCCAGTCAACTCCCAAGAGCCCCACATGTGAGCACATGAGGCTTTGAGGGACATCTTGATAAACTCTTAACATTACCCATGTGTATATTTTACAGCAACTAACTGCTGTCTTCTAAAGGACAGGAATTGTGTGTCCTCAGAGACTTCACAGACTGTACCTGAAGAGAGGAAGGGCTCCTAGGAGGGTGTGGAGGGTGTGTTCTGGGTTTCTAAGAGAGAACTGAACTTCAAATAACCTGAGAATTTTCTGGTGACAGAAAGAGCCCCAGAGGGAGCAGAGTTCAAGAGCACAGGCTACTGTGGGTCTCTGGAGAGATAAGCTTGCTGGAAGGGGCAGGGCAAGAGACTCGGGTGAGTGCCAGGGCCTCGCAGCAAGTCGGCTTGGAATGGATAGACAAGTTTACACGAGGAGGTCATGACCATAGCCTGAGATCTACTCTGCTGGATTTTGGCAGGCAGGGCTGGCATGTGTGTGCTAGGAGACAGGGAGAGCCTAGTTCCCCTCACAGTTCTGCAGGAATCAGGACAGCTGCTGGTAGCAGGGTTGGCCTTGCTGGCATGCTGAACATCTGTACTCCTGACACTTGTACAGAGTTATTGGCTTCCAGCCTGGGTATGTCTTGCCAGCAGTGCTAAGTCCTTAGTCCATAACTAACTGGAGGTCACTCAGCAGCCCCAGGACAACCAGGCTGGGAAGGCCCCACGGCCACACTTGTGTTCCCTCCAGCCCCTGCACTCATAATGTCCATTAGGTCCTCCACTTAATGACTGTCACTGTCTTCTGCATGATGGTTTCTACATGCCTGTCACTGTGGGGGGTTTAATAATCCCCAAGGCTATGCCTTCTGCCCAGAGCTGCAGCAACCTGCTCTGTCCTGATGATCCTTGGCCAATCTTGGTCTCTGTGTTAGTTGGAAAGCCTCCAGCCAGAGGACTGGTGAGGGGACATCACTTTGTACCTTTGGAATGTCTCTGAGCAGGTTAAGGCTGCTTTCCTGTGATGTGGGGAGTGCGGCCACTGGCCCTGCCTGTCTGGTGGGGGAAAGTAGGAGACAGCTATTTGGACGGTGTGAGGCTTTCCACAGCAAACCCTGGAAACAGCTCTGTTGTTCATTTCTCCCTGACCCTTGCCTGTTCCACCTGTCATCATCCTGAGGTGCTGGCTCCAGAGTCTGACAGGTGTGTAGAATCCCTGGTTGCCTGGGGAGACTCTGAGTAGTGGGGCCTGGGAATCTGGCATTTTTTATGTGGCTACGCATAAAAGAACTGCTGGAGGCATGAAGGAAGGACCTGCTGAGCTGTTGAGTAATTGTTCTTTACTTCATCTAACTTTGCTTTTCAATTTCTACATTGATCACATATTCAGAAATCAGAGAAAGATTAGATATCATTAAAAAAAATCAAAACCACATCTCATTTTAAGGTGATCGTTGCAAAAACCACTGGTCCTCTTACATGTGCTTCTCTGTTCTCAGGGGGACTTGATCTCATCCTCATGCCAGGCCTGGGATTTGACAATCACGGGAACCGGCTAGGCCGGGGCAGGGGTTATTATGACACCTACCTGCAGCGCTACCTGCAGCTGCAGGGCACGAAGCCCTACACCATCGCCCTGGCCTTCAAGGAGCAGCTCTGCCACCATGTCCCAGTGGGCGAGCATGATGTGAGGGTGGATGAAGTCCTCTATGAAGACCCCACAGCACTTTGAGTCCAGATGACCATGCCAAGTAATTGGGGTGAAGAAAATGTTTATTTTCCCTTGTCAAAGTTAATTGAAATTGTTCATTAAAGTGAACGTGGACTGCATTATTTTTGGTGTGAGTATGAAACCTGCCATAAAACTGTCTGCAGAAATCAGTACAGGTGTGAGTGGTAGAATATTAATCAAAGTAGAACCTATCACCATTGGTGTGCAGCCTGACTCCTGAGGCTGATGTGACGAACTTTGCAGTTTAGGTTAAATGTTCACAAGGAGCTGTGCCCAGGTCAGTGTGGGAGGAAGTGGGACATGTTGACCTTGGCGCTGTAGCTCACTGTGTCCTGACTGCTATGGGCTTGGTCAGTTTCTGCTGGGTGTACAGAAACTCAGCAATTATCAACAGACTTGCTACTTTTACTTGGGGTGCCAGGTTCCTTCAGAATATTATGTTACTTCATCATGACTTCCTTCATTCGCTCTGATATTTCGTGTACAACACTGTCAGCTCTCGGTTGGTGGAGGGAAACCTGTGATTTCAGTACTTTTGTTCAGCTGACTGGATCCTATCACTGCTGGTTTCTGAGTGTCAGCTGCTTATAAGTTTAAGATCTGATAAGTCTTAAATTAGGAATGATTTTTGTTCTCTTGTGGGTTTTGCATTTGTCTGACTTCGCAGATGGTCTCCCAGCTGGAGGGTGGTAACTTGGTGGGGAGGCTTTGGTGATCACTTGAGAGCTGAGAATCTCCCCACCTCCCCACCTCTCTATGTCCCCTGCTATCAGCTCTGTGGACCCTGCATGCAAAAGGCCTCTGGCATCTGTTCTCTCCTCCCATTGCCCTTCAGTGTCCCACTGTCCAACCCCGCAGCTCTCTGGAGCCAGACTCAGCAGGAGCCTCATACTGGGTTCTTTTTCCTGCAGTTTGTTTCAGAATGATCTTATAAAACACATCTGATATGATCGTGAAGCACTCCTGATTGGAGTTTTTAGGGAACTTCAGAGCCCCCTTAGAAGGCGCCTCCTCGCCTGCTTTTTCCAGCTTTTCCTCCCCCGCTTTTTCCAGCTTTTCCTCCCCCCACTACCTTGCTCTTCTCGAACTGAGTTCTGCGGCTGCTTCTGGCCTTTTCATTGTGAGCATTTCTTTCTGAGGAGCTTTTTTCTCTTCTTTATCTGGGGAACTCTCTACACCTGCCTTGTTTGTTCTGTCTTTCCTAGACAGCTTTGTTTCTTCCTTGTATAAATGACCCAGGCGCTGAGCTTATCACTGTGTCCTGTGCATTAGCTCTTAGTGGCCATGTCTGTCCTCTGCTCCAGACTGTGAGCTCCAAAGATGTTTCATACCGAGCAGACTGTTAGATAGAGAGTGGATGTGTGGTAATACTTCCATTGAATTAATTGAGTATATTTGGAATGACTTCACTTAAAACATAGTTCTACTATTCTCTGGATGATAGAATGTGATTTGTTATTTTGTATTTTAAGTGAAAAACTTAAAAAAATGTCAGTTGGACTAATGGTGGATCTTACAGTTTGGGACATCCAGTGAGAAATGGGAAAGAAGTGGAGTTCCTTCACACTGCGAAGACATGACCATTCTAGTGGAAAACCTTGTTTAGCACTATTTCACCTGTACAGTTAAAGTGGATGTTACATAGTGAACATAATTGCTGGTCTGAAATGGTTAAAGTGGGAAATTCCTGAGTCGCTGCAGGCCTGTGAAGATTTTCCCTGTTGACCCAGTCTCTATTATTTTTCCACCAAAGGGCAATGTTTAAAAACCCAATCTCTGGCTCCTTAAGTGTGCGAGAATATGGATTTGACTGGCCAGAAAACTGAAGGCCCCGAGAGTCAAGAAAGTCAGAGTGCTCTGGGTGTCCCCCTGGAAAAGGAGCTGTTTTCTAGTGACCAGAAGTGCACTGTGGTCTCTGCAGGGAGGCTCGAAAGGGAGGACCCCTGGTGGTGCAGGTGACACTGATCCTATCCCTCTGCACATGGCATCAGAAGAGCTGGACACTCTAGTGAGGTGGACATGGAGCAGGAATGGTGGGTCTGAGGTGTGGGAACAATCCAAGTGGAAGGGAGGAAATAGCAGCTAGGTCTGAGCAGAGACAGTTCTTAGTTTTGGGGAATTGCAAGGCATATCAGTCTCCAGTATGGTGTGTATTCTATAGGTCTATGCTTACTTTACCAAGGAGCTGTGAAGTTCTGGTCCATGCCTGGGTGAGAGTGAGGCACACTTCATCACCATGTCCTCTGAACTAAGAGCTTAATGAGTATAGATGGGTTCGTGCAAAAGCTCAGTTCCTGACCCCAGGTTTTTTTCTTGCAGAGATTATTGAGATTCAGTTGTTCATTTTGCATTTTAATCATACCTCCTCCAACCTACAGCTCCTCAAAGACACATATCTGCCACATTTGTGGCTACTTCAGGACCTACCACAGACCCTAAAACAAATTAAATAGCCAGTAAAGTCTTGATGCTAGAACAAACAGTTCAAACATCACCTGCCTGTACTGTGCACATGCTGTTTGGGTGTGGGCTGCTCCCTTTGCCAGCAGTGTTTCAGGCATGGAATTTTGCAGGACATGTCTCAATCCTTGCCTTAGTCCAGCCTATGGGCCACACCATGTGGCTTTTCCTCCTTTTCAGTGCATTCTCTCTTCACATCTTTTCTGTCTTCTGCCTTCCTGTGTTGGGGAGGCCCCAGACCTTCTGCCCTTGAGGTGTAGTCTCCAGTCTGTGTGGGCACCTGTCACAAATGTATAGTTTTTTGCTGTGCCTTAAAACAAAGAATGCATTTTTCTAAATAATATGCACCTTATAAAACATACACATGAGAGGATGAGACAATATTGAAATATATGTGCTTAATAATGTACTCATTTTTGCCGGGGATTTAGCTCAGTGGTTCCGGCGCCTACCTCGAAAGCACAAGGTCCCGAGTTCGATCCCCAGTACCAAAAAAAAATAATAATAATGTACTTATTTTAAAAAGGAAAATATATGGTTGAAAACTTTTAAATTCATTGTTATGTTCTTTCTTTCTTATCTCTTTCTTGTTTGTGATGCTGGGTATTGAACCCAGAACCTTGCATATACTAGGCAAGTGCTCTATTACTGAGGTATACTCTAGCCCCAAATTCATTATTTTTAAAAACTTTACTTTAGCACATTTTGAATGATTCAAAAGTAAATCAATGACTGAAAATTCAGTTTATTCAATAATTGGTTTTAAGAGCTTTTATAGCTGAAAGAAGCTATCTTGTAGAGACAAACAGATCCAGAGGGAAGTAGAGCTGTAGATACTGAAATTTTCAGTTCTGTCTACTGATTTTGCAGTGATATTTTTAACTGAAATCTGGCTAGTAAATACCCATTTTTCTTGATGTGAATCTGTCTTTTTTATGTATTAATCAGTAGGTGCCACACATTTACTTTGTTGACAAATGGGTTTAATAACCATTTTCCATGTTTTCCCTCTGCCTGGCCTGCCCCCCAGCACTAGGCAAGCAATCTACCATTGAGCTGCATGGCCGCCGCCCCAACTCTCTTTTTGAGAGTAGTTGCCTCCTGTCTCACTATTTTTTTATTTTTTTGGTACCAGGGATCAAACTGGGACCTTGCCCTTGCGAGACAGGCAGTGGAACCACTGAGCTAAATCCCTGGCCCTCCTGTCTCACTATTTAAACATGCCTTTTACCCAAATTATATGTGCTTATGTTTTGAAAATCTCTCTTTAGGTAGTGATTTACTGGTGACCATTTATAATCTCAGAAAATTATAGAACTTTTGTGTAAAGAATTACGTGAAAAACTCATCTTGAAGTTTAACAGCTCTTTTAAAAGTATTTTGTGATAATCAAAAAAATTTAGATGACTAAAAATATTTCTCATGGGCACTTCTTATCACATCATAAAGAGTTGTAAATATTCCATCATACCATAAGGGCCCTAATTTTATAAAATCCTCATCAGTGAAACCTATTGCACATGGGACATGTCCTGCCTGTGAATTAGGGGGTGATACTGTTGCTGAATTCCTTTTTTTTGGTACCAGGGATCGAACTTGGGACCTTGTGCTTGCGAGGCAGGTGCTGGAACCACTGAGCTAAATCCCTGGCCCCTGTTGCTGAATTCTTGATGTGAAATCTACCACCTCACCTCCGAAAAATTTCAGTCAAAGCAGCCACTCTATCAGGAATAGAAAGTGAAATAGTTTGCCCATAAAACATTTTTTTTAAAAGGTGAATTATTTTGAAAAGTATTTCTTCTCCTTTTTTTTCATTTTTCTTTTATTTCTTCTTCTTGTGGTACTCTTAAGAGGAAATATGTTGGAGACCCCTGTCCTGTTTCTCAGCCCCCACTTGAAAAGGTCGTTCCTGTGCTGAAGTCTTTGGGTTGCCAGCACTGTCCCCTGCAGGTCGTGACAGTGCTTCCTGATAGGAAGATGCCTCAGCTCTTTTTCCCTACATGTTTTTATCATTATTTCATGCCTATTTTTGTGGTTTGAAGAACCAGTGGTTTTGTTTTTTTAAATGGGATGATACACTTGGTCTTTTGCTATTAAGTGACAAAACATAAAAGGCTTATAAACATTTGTGATTCCATTTAGTGAACTTGTTTAACAAGTTTTGGAGTTTGAATCACAGGGTATGAAATGCTGCTGAGCATGTCATGGAGGTGTCCTCTTGGTCTGTAGCCTCTGCTACATGGCCTCGCATATTCGTTATGTGTGTGTAGCACAAGGTTCTTCATTAACCTGGGGACAGATCCCACTTCACAAAGGCTTCTTGATCATTCCAAGTTTTTTGGCTGACTTCTTGGCAAATCTTAGTGTTTTTTCCTTTGTGGCTTATGGACAGCTTGTACTAGAAATAGAAGTATAGTATCAGCTATTGTTGCTCATGTGTGTGTGTGTTAGGGTTGACTTTGGTCTGCTGTTCTTTGTAAGAATCTTTTCAAGGCACTTGTGCATTTTGAGAGGGTTGGTTCAGTGGAGCAGGGAGATGCCTCTGCCTGGGAATGTGTGTATAAACCCCAGTGTTTCACCCCTCGCTCTCTGTCACCTGCTGTTCCTTAAGCAGGACCTGCACCCAGTGCCCTCCTGC